ATTTGGGGCGCTGTGCTTAAAGCCTGCGCTCGGGGAACGTGCAAAACGTAGCTCTTTCGCAGATGCATGTACATGCACATACACGAACACACGTCTGTAAAAGAAAGAGCTAGTTTTACACACATATATGAAAGAAAGCTAGTTTTTCACATTCCCGAAACAGAGACTAAAACCAACACCAGAAGTCATGGGAGTTGGCAACGCCGGGGTGGCGTGGGGGGCACCCTCCATGCCACGGCGTCTTGCCCCTCTTTGAAGCCAGGGTGCTGGCCCGATCCGACAGGGGAAATAGCTGTGGTGGGCCGGGACGTGGCAGCGAGCCCGGCGTTTCTGGCCAGCCCTGTGGCTCCTCTGTGTGGTCCCTGTCCTCTTGGTCCCCCCAGCGGGGCTGGTTGGGGGTCACAGGCTTGTCATCCGGAGATGCTCGGGGTTTGGGGTGGCCGTGCCCGGCGTGGTTGCCTAGGAAACACCCCGGTCGGCCTGTTCTTTGCCCAGCCGTCTGGGACTTTGGTCCAGCCCCAGGCTTCCTGCATCAATCATCAACCAGGGGAGTGGCCCAGTGGGTCCCAGCCAAGCTATTGGAAGAGCGCGGCCTGCCTCCCTAGTCCCTTCTGCAGTAAGAGTCCCCAGCCCAGCAGCCCGCGGCACCAGCCGGCTCTGCAGCTCTGAGTCACAGCCGAGGCGGACGGAAGCAAAATGTCATCCGCTGCCGGGGTTCCCCGAAACAAGTACCCCTTCAAGAAGAGGGCCAGCCTGCAGGCCCCCGCCATGGCAGGTGAGCAAATGCAGGCCAGGCACCCACCGGCTCCTGCGTGCCTGCCGCTGGATGGCTGGGGGACATCACGGCCTTTGTTCCATGCAAAGGGCCGGACCCCTCCATCGCCCACCCTCTGAGGACGGTAGCGGACTTATACGGCTCTAGTGGCATCCTGGGCATCGTCCCCCTACCATATCTGCCCGCCTGGAGTGGGGTGGGATGCTGGTGGCTGGGGTGCGCGCCTCTTTCTAGTGATGCGCTGAGTGGAGGGGTAAGGAAGCAGCAGGCTGGGACTAGGTTTTTCTGTGGCACAGGCCGGGGATGGACTCGGGGAGGAAGGGGATTTGTGCCTTGTCTTTCTTGCAGAAGGATGTGGGCGTGAGGACTCGGGACAGGGGTGTACCTGTGTGTGTGAGTGATACACACGTGGCGTTTCATGCGGAGACATAGGCAGGGTCAGGTAGTGCTGGATTAGAGCAGGACCGCGGATGCTGGATAACTGGATTCTCTGCCTGGCTCTGGGAAAGAGCGCGATTCAGTGGGGAGGATGGGGAACCGGGAGTCAGGATACCTGGGCTGTATTCCTGACTTTGCTGCCTATTTTCTTCAGGTGGGTTGCTTTGTTACTTGGTGCCTCAGTTTCCCCTTTTGTAAAGTGAGAGGAACGTACTTACCTGCCTCTGTCATGTGTTTTGAGATTATTGCTGCACTTCTGTGAGCCATTGCTGGTTGGGGGTGGGCAGAGATGGATCTCAGAGTGCGTGAACTGTATCGAAATTTAGGGCTGTCCCCCGGGCCACCTCTTCTGAAAGTTGCCTGGCATCCTCTCCCCACTGTACTGCAGACCCGCAGCCTGTGTGCTGCAGAGGAGCTCAGCCAGGGGGACGCTAGCCCCTAATGCATTTCCCACACGCATCCAAGAGACACCAAGGGACCTGGGCAACTTCCTGTTGGTGAGCCTAGGGTCCTATTCTCAGGCCATAGCATACCGTGACATCCACTGGGCTACTTGTATCTCATGGCAGGAGACGAAATATAAGGTATCAAGGCATGAGCCCTGGGGAAATGTAAGTGTTGAGGAGGGTGTGTGACCCTTCTGGAGATGCATTGCCTACATATCAGCGCATATGGGTGCCTGGGTGGGTGTTTTTTGTGCAAGCCTGTATCTCTGTGTGGGTGCTGTGTGTAAGAAAGCATGGGGAACTGCTGTTCTAGGTTTGACAGTATCCCACTGTGTAATGCATCAGACCAGTGCTCCCGTCCGCTGCCCTCTTTCAGCCTCGGTTCCTCCAGACCCATCACTATGGTATCTGAGTGCCTCAGCAGCTGGTACCTGATGCTTCAGAGCCAGGCACAGGAGGAAGAAATTCCCACCATGCATTTGGCTAATTGGCATGTGTGGGTGGTGGTGGAGTGGGGTATTGTGTACTCTGGATGACGGTGTTCTGGCCATGTTGTTATTTTTGGAGTAACTCATTTATTACTATTCCCACAGGGCCCTGGGAGCCCCACTGGGGCTCGTGTGAGTGTGTAGATGGGAGCGCTGCAGGGCAGACGCTAACAAGAGCGTGGTGTAGCGCGTGGAGACGTACGATGAACACAGATGCTACTGCATGTACGTGGTGTAGTTATGTGGCTACGCAGGATGGACACCCAGATGCTAACAAGTGTGTATCATCATGCTGTTGCGTGCGTGTCCAGCTGCTAATTCTTGGGTGCTGCATAGTCATGTGGGTGCTTTGCATGCCCCATCCCTATGTGGATAGGAGTATGCGTAAGTGTGTACGTAGATCGATACCTGTCTTTTCTTGCCTGCCATTATAATTCCTGACATACCTGGCAGCCTAATAACCTGCCCAGCCAGTCCCGGGTCTGTCAGGGCACAGGTTATAGAATCCATGTGGCTGCACATGACAGGGGCATTTCCTCACCTAGTGGCAGAGCAGGTATGGAGGAGGAGGAGGAAAGAGGAAGGGACAGACCGGATTCCAGTAGAGAAAGGTGTCCAGGATTGCCTGGGAGGGGAGAGGAGATGATGAAATCAGCATCTTCCCATGTGGAATCTGGTTCAAGGATGTCATGGTCCAGTTGGCACGGCCTGTGAGGAAGCTCCTGCTGCCAGGGACACACTTACCTCAAGGACTCCTGGGGCTGGGAACAGGCCTCCTGCAGGGAGAGAGCTGAGGGGTTTTGGGGTGATTGCACTATAGTGAAGCGGAGCCCCTTTGCCTTTGAGTGGTCATTGACCGGGAACCACGAGGGTGGGAAGGAGCATACTTAAGTCTAGCCTGCAGGATCTTGGGGTGTGCACTTGAGATTCACCTGGGCTTGTGGCTGCAGGGATGACTTGTGTGACTCATCCCCATGCACTCCAGCCTGATGCTGTCACCAACCTTAGATGCGTGTCTTTCTCAGGCTGCTCTTCCGACACCCAGGTTTGTTGTTGCCAAGCAAGTGATGTGGCCTAGAATCATCTTTATGGTTTTTCTTAACCATGGGCTTCTCTAGGCCCGTTAGGACCTAGGAGCTGCCCACTTCTCTGCCCTGTCCTGGGGTCTTCTTCCACGTTCCATTGCCTGCCCCTGCCTGCCTCGCAGCAACTGTTCATTGCCCCTTGGCCCAGCAGCCTGGGACTTTGGTCAAGTCCTGGCCTCTCTGCTCAATCATCAACCAGGGGAGGGGCCCACCCAGATTCCCTACAAGCTGTTGGAAGAGCCTGTGAAATCTTTTCTGTCCCTCTCCTCCTACCACCTGCCTGCTTGTGCTTCCTGGTGGGTGGGCGTGAGCCAGGTAAGGTACACACACCCAGGGGGACTTGATCTGTGCCATTGCCCACCAGTGAGAGATCCATATGGGACACTAGCTACTTCCCAAGGCTTTAGCTGCCTGTGGCAAAGCTGGCTTCCCAAGGGTTAAAGCCATCAGTTAGGAACATGCCTTGGATTAGTACAGGATTCTTTGCTGCATTCCCAGCGAGTGAACCCCGCTGGGTGGTAATTATTCCAGGAACCGTTAATCAGACTCTGCCAGAGCTCTAGAGAGCGTGGGATTGTGAGAGCAGGAGCACACTAATATCACAGCTTCTCCTTCACCAGCTTGGATTAAAAGGTACTGATGGGAAAGCCCAGTGAGACGGGGTCCCTTCGAATCAGGGATTTGAATCCTGGAGCCGTAAGAACCCTTAGCATTTTCTTAGCTGCTTCTTGCTGACAGATCTCAAAGCACTTTGAAAGGGGCAAGTGCATCTTATCCAGCTACTGCAGGTGGGGAAACTGAGGCACAGGGCAAGGTCATGCAGGTGGTTGGTGGTAGGACCAGGATCTGATCCCAGGGTTGCATTCTCCCATCTTGCACAGAGGTTGACACCAGTGCAGCGTAAGTGTGCAGCTTATGCCCAGCAATGCACTAGAAGGGGCAGGGTAGTAGCAAACATTAAGCTGATGGGTCTTGATCAGCTAGGGGCAACGTGTGGTACACAGATGCTGCAGAGATGGTTTCAGGTGCCTCACAGATCTCTGTCACAAGGACTTCCAGTACCCCTGGCTCTGCCAGTGGATAGATCCTGTCTTATAGTGCCAATAGGCTCGGTGTGCCCTGCTTTAATGCCCTTTATTTTGCCTGTTGTGAACTTGCTCTAGTGTAACAAAGCTTTTGATTTGGTCTATTTGGGGGTTAGCAAGGTCGATCCCTTCCAGAGGGGCATGTTGGTGGCTATATACCAGTACACAATACTGTCTAATGGCTAGTAGGAGTGAGCTAGACTCCAGGACTCATGGGTGCTGGCTCTGTCACTGGTTTGTGGTGTGATTGGTAAATCATTGGTGCCTCTCAGTTTCTGTGTATATTTAAATGGCTCACCTGCCTCCCAGGGGGAAGGGGGATGAAGTATTGATAAAGCACTGTGAATTCTTGGATAAGAGAGGGTTACTTTTAAATCAGCAGTGGTTATGAGAAAAAGCAGGGTGTTATTTTATGCAGTCTTTTTATTTCCTTTCATATAAAAAAGATGACCTAACCTGGGAAGAAAACAATTAACAAAAGAAAAAACTCTCTCAGGATGTAGTTGGCAGCACCATTTAACACACTTTCCTCTGTGACAGGAGATGCACAGTATTTAAGAACTGGGGTCAGGTCCTTAATTGCTCTTGAAGTGGGTTGTGAATCTCTCATAAGCCAACATGTATTTCTCCTCCAGACTCATCTCTCAAAGGATCTCATCTTGCGGTCTCTATTTAAAGCTTTGCCAGCAGAGTTGTACATGGGGTGGACACGCTGCGGCTAGTGAGCATGTGTTGGATTGTCATGTGGGCATGCAGGAGCGTGGGAAAAAAATCAACCCCCTCGATATAGCTATGTTAGCAAAACCCATAATGTGGCTGTAGTGATCCCTGCAAGAGTCCTTTACCTTCCTGGTACAGCTTACCGCAGGGGGACAGCTAGGCTAAACTGTGGCATGGACAAAGAAATGAGTAATAATGAATTAGTTAGCGGTTTGCAAATTTTTAACTGCCCATGTGCCTGCTCTTACCCCTCGGTAAGTAAAAACTAGGCTGGGGCAGTTTAGCCCTGGGTCACTGAGGCGTAAGCTGTAAGGGTCACTCGCCACAGGATAAGAGCACACACACGGAAAGTTCCTGCAGGCCTCCTGCATACCCCCTTTCTAACTTGCTCGCATTTGTTTGCTTGTCCATGTCCCTGTACGGTCCCCAGATCTCTTTTACTTTTGTCACAGGTGTCTCTCTGGGGTGGTTTGCTAGTACAGCTCTCTACTGTGTGTTTGTATCTGGTTGTTCCAGCAAAGCTTGTAAGTATAGACAAGCCTTCAGGACACCGTAGACTTTAATGAATTCAGACTCCCCTGAGGTGCAATGCAAGTCACGATCAGCCCACTTTTGCAGGTGGGGACATAGCAGGCACAAGACGCAGCAGAGTAGTCATTATTAGCAGTTATACACACCGCTGTTTGCTTGGCTGGTACTTTTCCATCAATGCTAGAGGGAAAAAGACAGATCAGGCCC